CAACATTAAAGATGCTCAATATATGGAAACCAACTTGGCAATAAACTATTTAAGAAAAAAAAAGATGCTCAACATCACTAATCTAGGGGCACCTGTCTGACTCATTTGGTAGAGCATGCTACTCTTCATCTCAGGGTTGTGAGTTCAAGCCCCACATTGGGCATGGAGCCTACTTTTTAAAAAAATCACTAATCATAGGAGAAATGCAAATCAAAGTCACAATGAGATATCACCTTACACCTGTTAGAATGGCTAGCCAGTATCAAAAAGGCAAGAGATAACAAACGTTGGTGAGGATGTGATGAAAAGGGAATCCTTGCGTACCATTGGTAGGAATATAAACTGGTGCAGCCACTATAGAAAACAGTATGGAGGGGGGCGCCTGGGTGGCTTAGTCGGTTGGGCGTCCGACTTTCGCTTAGGTCATGATCTCGCGGTTCGTGGGTTCGAGCCCCGCGTCGGGCTCTGTGCTGACTGCCAGCTCAGAGCCTGGAGCCTATTTCAGAGTCTGTATCTCCCTCTCTCTCTGACCCTTCCCTGCTCACGCTGTCTCTCTCTCTCTCTCTCTCCTAGAAATAAATAAAAAATATTAAAAAAAAACCAGTATGGAGGTTCCTCAAAAAATTAAATACAGAACTATCATATCATCCAGCAATTCCACTTCTGAATATTTATCCAAAGGCGAAAAAAACCACTAACAAAATATCTGCACCCCCATTTCATTGCAGCATTATTTACAATAGCCAAGATATGGAAACAACCGAAGTGTCTGTCCATCAACAGATGAATGGATAAAGAAAATATGGTGTGTATGCATGTGTGTACACAATGGAACAGTATTCAGCCATAAAACAAAGGGGAAATCTTGCCATTTACAAGAATATGGATGGACCTTGAAGGCATTATGCTACATGACATAAGGCAGACAGAGAAAGATAAATATTGTATGATCTCAGTTACATGTGGGATCTAAAAGAAAAACAAGCTCACAGTACAGATCACAGATGGGTGGTCGCCAGATGCGGGAGGAGGAGGTGGGCAAAATGGGTGAAGGAAGTCAGAGGTACAAACTTTCAGTTATAAAATAAATAACTCATGGGAAGTAACGTACAGCATAGTAACTAGAGGTAATTATATTGTACTGAATATTTACAAGTTGCTATGAGAGTACAGCTTAAAAGCTCTCATCACAAGAAAAAAATTCTATAACTGTGTACGGTGATGGATGCTAACTAGCTTTCTTGTGGTGGCCATCATGCAATACATACAAATATCAAATGATTATGTCGTACACCTGAAATTAATATAATGGAAACCAATTAAAAAAAGAGCATGGTATTGGCGAAAGAACAGATGAGTTTATCAGTGGAACAAATAGAAAGAAAATAGATCCACAAATATAATCCACTGATCTTTGACAAATGAGCAAGGGAATTCAATGGAGAAAACAGTGCGGAAACAACTGGCTAGTTGACAACATAGTCAAACTATGGAGACCATCCAAGAGTCCACCGACTGGTGAATGGATAGAGAACATGTGGTATAAATATACAATGGAGTATTGCTCAGCCTCAAAAAGAATGAATCTTGTCTTTTTCAATGACATAGATGGAGCTACAGTATATTATGTGAAGCGAAATAAGTCGGTCAGAGAAAGACAAATACCGTACAATTTCACTGATCTGTGGAATTTAAGAAACAAAACAGATGAACATAGGGGACGGGGGGGGAAAAGAGAGGAAAGCAAATCATACGAGATTCTTTTTTAAAAATGTTTATTATTTTGAGAGAGAGAGAGAGAGAGAGAGAGACAGCACGAGCACATGCAGAGGAGGAGCACAGAGAGAGAGGCACAGAGGATCCAAAGCAGGCTCTGCGCTGACAGCAGACAGCCCGATGCAGGTTCGAACTCCCGAATGTAAGATAATGACCTGAGCCGAAGTCAGTCACTTACCCAACTATAAGAGACTCTTAACTGTAGGTAACAAACAGGATTGATGGAGGGAGGTGGGCGGGGGGATGGGCTAAATGGGTGATGGGTACTAAGGAGGGCACTTGTTATGTTGAGCACTGGGTGTTGTATGTAAGTGGTGAATAACTAAGCTCTACACCTGAAACCAATTTCAGCATGTATGTTAGCTAACTAGAATTTAAATAAAAACTTCAAATAAAAAAACAAAACAAAACACTAATTCAAATATATATATATAATTTATATATTTATATCCCTGTGCTTATTTCATTATTATCTATAATAGTCAAACTATGGAAACAACCTAGGTGTCCATCAATAAATAAATGGATAAGAACGGGGCTCCTGGGAGGCTCAGTCAGGTAAGTGTCCGACTTTGCCTCAGGTCATGATCTCATAGTTCGTGGGTTCGAGCCCCACGTCAGGCTCTGTGCTGATAGCTCAGAGCCTGGATCCTCCTTCAGATTCTGTCTCCCTCTCTCTCTGCCCCTTCCCCACTGGTGCTGTCTCTCTTGTCTCTCTCTCTCTCTCTCTCTCATAAATAAATAAACTTAAAAAAAAAAGAAAAATGAAATAGGTCTTATATATGCAAAATGTAAAACTATAAAACTTCTACAAGATAAGGGAAAATCTAAGTGACTTGGGTCTGGAGATGTGTTTGTTTTTTTTTAATTTTTTTCTTAATGTTTCTTTATTTTAGAGACACAGAGACAGAGCACAAGTAGGGGAGGGGCAGAGAGAGCCGGAGACAGAATCTGAAACAGACTCCAGGCCCTGAGCTGTCAGCACAGAGCCCCACGCAGGGCTGGAACTCACAAACCATGAGATCATGACCTGAGCCAAAGTCGGACACTTGACCACCTGAGCCACCCAGGCGACCCCTGGAGATGTTTTAAAATACAACACCAAAAGTATGATTCATAAAAGGAAAAATGACCAGTCGGACTTTATTAAAATTTTAAAATTCTATTCTATGAAAGACACCGTGGGGCGCCTGGAGGGCTCAGTGGTTTAAGCATCTGACTCTTGATTTTAGCTCAGGTCATGATCTCCTGGTTCGTGAGATCAAGCCCCACGTCAGACTCCATGCTGACAGTGCAGGAACCTGCTTGAGATTCTCCCTCTCGGTCTCTCTCAGCCCATCCCCATCTCTCTCTCTCAAAATAAATAAACTTTCTTTTTTTTAACAAAAAAAGACACCACTAAGAAAACAAAAAGACAAGCCAAAGAACGAGAGAAAGTATTTGCAGAACTTATCTGATAAAGGACTTGTATTTAAAATATACGAACAACTCTTAAAACTCAACAGTAAGAAAACAAACAACCCGATTAAAAAATGGACAAGATCGGGGCGCCTGGGTGGCTTAGTCGGTTAAGCGTCCGACTTTCGCTTAGGTCATGATCTCGCGGTTCATGGGTTCGAGCCCCGCGTCGGGCTCTGTGCTGACTGCCAGCTCGGAGCCTGGAGCCTGTTTCAAAGTCTGTGATTCCCTCTCTCTCTGACCTTCCCCTGCTCACGCTGTCTCTCTCTCTCTCCCCTAGAAATAAATAAAACATTAAAAAATTTAAAAAAAAATAAAAGAGGTAAAAGTATAGAGACAGTAAAAATGAAAAAAACACAGTAGTTGCCAGAGGTTCAAGCATAGAGAGAGAATGGACGAGTAGCTGAAGCACAAATGAAACTGTTTTGTATGAACCTTTAACGGTGGACGTGGGCCATTACGCATTTGTCAAAACCTGCAGAATATGCGACACAATGAATCTTCCAGTCAACTGTAGACTATAATTAATTCTACAGTATCAATAGTGGTTAAATGTAACAAATGCCCTACACTAATACAAAATATTAATAACGGGGCAGGTTGCCTGGGTGGCTCAGTTGGTTAAGTGTCTGACACGGGTCTGCCTCTTGATTTCGGCTCAGGTCGTGATCTTGATATCAGCTCAGGTCATGATCTCATGGTTCGTGAGACTGAGCCCCACACTGGGTTCTACGCTGACAGCACGGGGCCTGCTGGGGGTTCTCTGTCTCCCTCTTTTTCTCTCTGCACCTCCCCTTCGTGCGCGCTCTCTCTCAAAAATAAAATAACGGGGAACTGTAGAGGGGTACAGAGTGGTAATGGAACAATATGTACTCTCTTCCCAATAATTCTGCAAACCTAAAACTGTACTACAGAAATTAAGTCAATTAATTGTTTGAATGCACTTAGCGTACAATCCAGCAATTGGCATTCATCTCACACAAAATCCTTACACAAACAATCACAGCATCTTTATTCCTAAGAGCCCCAAACTGGAAACAACCCAGATTTCCTTCAACTAGAGGTTGGTTAAGCGAACTGTAGTTCATTTATACCATGGAATACTGCTCGGCAGTAAAAAAGAACACGCTATTCATAGACGCAACAATCTGCATGAATCCCCAGAGAATTATGCTGAGTAAAATCCAGTCCCAAAAGGTTACATACTGCATTTATTCCATTCATATGTTATGTTTGATATGACAAAACTATAGAATGAGAGCACAGATTAGTGACAGCCAGGGGTTAGGGAGGGAGCGGGGGAGGAGGAACTGCCTGTGGCTATTAAAAGGCAAGATGAGGGGCACTTGGGTGGCTCAGTCGGTGAAGCGCCCGACTCCGGCTCAGGTCATGATCTCGCAGTTCACGAGTTCGAGCCCCACGTCAGGCTCTGTGCTGACAGCTCGGAGCCTGGAGCCTGCTTCCAATTCTGTGTCTCCCTCATGCTCTGTCCCTGCCCCACTTGCCCTCAGTCTCTCTCTCTCTCAAAAAATAAATAAACATTTAAAAAAATTTTTAAAGGCAAGATGAGGGGTCCTTATGGTGATGGAAATGTTCCATATGTCAACAGCCTTGTTGTGATACTGTACCAAGGTTTTGCATGATGTTCCCATTGGAGAAAAGTGGGTAAATGGTACGCTGCATTTGAATCTACAATTATCTCAAAATTAAAACTTATCTTAAAAAGTAAAAGAAAAAAACGTGTTAAGTAGGCTCCTCCTCCTTACCTCAAATGATCTGCCAGGCTGTCCTGGCACCGGGGCAGGGAACCTCTGGGGTGATTTCCCATTAGCTGGCATGTCCACCCTGGGTCTCAGCCCACCTTCCAAAGCTGGAGGGGAGTCTGTATGTGGGCTGATGTGGGCTGCGGTCAGAATGAATGGAAGATCCCACAGCCTCCAGTAAGGAGAAAGCTCAACGGCTCCACAGGGACACCAAGAAATCCTAAAAGGACAGTATCCATGTCATCAGCGTCATTCTACATATACACCACAAAATTCAACAACCCCCACTCCGAGTGTTAGGGTGGATTAGGAAAACAATCATGATGTCTGAAGTCACACTAATGACCTCAGAGTCCTTTTATTCTGAGGTGGCTCCACAGGGACCTTCACACCTTACCTAGCCAGCCTACTCCTGAATTCCAAGTTCAAGGTAAGGTAGATCAGGGTTTGTGGGGAGGGCAGAATTGGGGGTAAACCCTATGAGGTGGACAGAGGAAGGACCTGTCCACGGGGACCCAGTAGGTGACCGTAGAGGCAGGAAATCTGGAAACCCAAATGAAAGGTACCACTTCTGCCCTCTTTAGTTATCTTGTCATTTTTAGGGTGAAAACCCCTCTTCAATTCTTCTACAGGAAGCTCCTCACCTCTTCTTTTCAGAAGATGATTTAACATTAATATTATTTATTAATCAATACATGGGGGGACGCTGCTATTAAATTACACCAGAAAAGCATCTGACACAATTCTACAGACATTACTAATAAAACTCCAACTAAAATTAGGGAAGAAGTAAATCCCTTAAATATCACAAAAATCATTTACAAAACATAGCCCTGAAATATTATGCTAAAAAGTAAAATGATGAAGCTATTACAAACAACTCAGATGTTTTGCTTGCTCTATGAGAGATGAAACAATGAGAATAAGTGTTGGAAGTTAATAGAAATGTGGCTTTCCTTGCCAATGATATGGTTTTATACAAAGAAAACTGAAGAGACACTACTAGCATTCACAGGGCAATTTGGTAAGGGGCTGGATATCAGATAAAATTATAAGAGCAAATAATTTTTCCTCTATAATGGCAACAATCAAATAAATGAAAACAGGGAAACAAAAACCCATTAATAATGACAGCAAGAAATACACAAAATACACGTAAGGAGTTGGATGTGTACGATTAAAAAAAATTGACAAATATAAAATAGTCACACAGATATACCATATCCTTGGATAAGAAGATGTAATACAAATGTCAACCCTCCCAAAGCCTTATATTAAAGTAATGTAAAGAATAAGTGACAAAGAAACACAAAACTCAATAACAGTGAGATGGTGTATACAAAATTCGTGGAATGCGTGGAATGCAGCTAAAGAGATTCTTAAAGAGAAATTCATGTTCTAAATGGGTTTTAACAATGAAGAAAGGCTGAACATTAATGAACTAACATCCCAATTTAAAAAGTTAAAGAGAAAATGTACAGATAAGAGCAGAAATTACTCTATTAATAAAGGCACATCAGAGAGGATGAAGGAGGCCAAAGGCTGGTTCTTTGTAAAGACTAATAAGATTAGCAAATCTCTGGGGAGACTGATAAGGAAAAACCTAAACACACACTCTATTAAGACTTGACTACGAGACGCAGCAAGATACCTAAAAACCTGACCACCTCCCAGCATCCACCATCCCTGACCTGCACAGATTCCCATTCACCAGATTCTTTAACTCTTCACCAATGGACCTCACAAACTGGCAATTCGTCATTCCCGAAAGCCAACGAAGCCATCACCTCAAAATCACTGATGACTGTCACGCCACAAAACCTCGTGCACTCGCTTTAGCGTCGCGCGCCAAAAGGACTTAAACGTCCTCTGAGGGCCACTTCCGTTTCCTGTCCTCACCCCTGACCGTGCCCCTTCTGGGTTGTTGTTCTCGCACACGATCGTAAGGGCTGTGATTCTGCGGTCTACTCAATCTGAGCAAGGTGCAGTTAGGGATCGGCAGAGACTTTGTCCCTGAGTGGCGTCGTCGGGCGAGGAATATGGCTGCGCCCAGGCGTTCCTCTGTGGGGGCCGCCATCTTAGCGCCCATTCCGTACAGCGGGCTGTTCCACGAAGGCGGGGGCGGGGGACTTTGTTCAAGGGTAAAAACCTTCTGAAGGCAAGCCTCCAGGAGGAGCTGGTCTTTGGAACTGGGTTCTATAGGTCTGTGCAAAAGTTACAGAAGCAGAGGTGCGGGGCAGGGCACATGTGTCCTAATCTTCAAGGAAGACACCACTGAGGAGAGGGGTAAAAGTCAAGATATTAGTTTCCCCCTGGAAGACGTCACTCAGAGGAAAGGAGAAATTAGAATGTTACAGTCCCCCTCCTGGCAGATACCACTGGGCGAGAAAGGGAAGGAGTCGGGGTGGTACAGTCCTCTCCTTGGAGATACCACTGGGAAGAAGGGGGAAACTCAGGTTATTGTTGATCCCTCCCGGGCAATACCACTGGAGAAGAGTGGGGAGAGTCATGGTGGTGCATTTTGATGTGCTGCAATTGGTATAGAAGGGAGTCGAATCCCCTTCAATCTCCATTACCTCCATTACCCCACTACAATGATAGTAGCTAGAGATAAATAATAGTAATAATAATAATAATAATAATAGCCTTTGATATGGACAACTATTATTTTTAAGCAAATTGTTAATAGAAAAATATTTAGAAAACGTTAATAAAGCTTACTTTCGCTGAAACTACATCTCCAAAACACGCTTCCAACTCCTCCTGTCAACCAGGTTGCAGCCGCTTAGCCTCTCTTATATGGGAATTTAGGAGTTACTACTTACTCTTGGGAGAGAAGAGAGGATTCTAGGGGTTCTTTACCTCTGAACTCCTATCCTTTCAAACACAGCAGGTAGGCCCTGGTTAGCTTGGGCATGGATTGCTGGGTGCCCTAAGGACATTCAGACCCCCTTCTCTGGGCCTCAGAGTAATAACCTGGAGAGTTAGAGTGTCAGCCTCTCAGTATTTGTGAATGGACTAGAACCAGAGTGGCAAATGTGAGAACACTGCTGTAACACGCACTTCTAAAGAAATTTCCAAAACTTATTATCGTCATGACTTTTGGCCAACATCTCAAATCCTAGATTCTGCTAACTTCCACCATCAATGCCTCCTGGGCTGATCTCAAACCTGGGCCTTTCTCAGCTCTCCCAACACCTATGTTGCACTCTTCTGATCTAAATTCATGTCCTCTATTAATGATGTCATCATCTGTGTCCCTGTATTTTGACCATGAATCCAAGAGGCTCTTTTATCATAAATGTCCTTTTTTTATAGACTGAGAGAACAGGCATATGTGAATTTTCCACTATCAATGCCTCTCGGATCCATGTCTCAACTGTTGGACCATGGTTAACTTCTCTACCATCAATGTCCTTTTGATTAGACTTCCAAAACAGACATATGTTGCAGAGGCCTAGGTTCCAGTTCAAACCAGAGGGGAAATGTTGTTTGAAGAATAACAGAGGCCCAAGTTCAAGAACTGGACCTGAGGACCATTGAAAGTAAATGTTCATTCATGGCGGAAGGCTGCTTACAAGACTGGGCTTATGGCCTGTAAAACAAGATGGTGATTTCTGGCAAAATCATTAACAGATGTTTTTAGATGAAACCAGGGAGATTGGTGATGTTGAAAATTTCATACTTTTCTAAGATATAGACATGAAATAGTTAATGGAGGCCCAGGGTTCAAGGTCAGAAGTAATGGTTTGTCACTTCAGAGATTAGATTATAAAAGACTGAGGCTTCCATCTTGTTCTCTCTCTCTCTCTCTCTCTCTCTTTCTCTCTCTCTCTCCCTCTCTCCATTCCTCATATCACTCACTCTGGGAGAAGCCAGCTGCTATGTCATAACAACACTCAGGCAGCCTTTGGAGAGGCCCATCTGCCAAGCACACCTACTAAGGCTTCTGACCTATAGCCATATGAATGAGCCAGCCTCCAGCCTCAGTTGACTATAGTCCCAGTCAACAACTTGACCATAACATGAGTCAGAGACCCTAAGACAGGATCCCTAAGCCAAGCCACTCCCAAGTTCTTAACCCCACATTCACGGTGAGATAATAAATGTCTGTTTTAAGCTTCTAAGTTTCAGAGTAATTGGTTATCTACTAAAATCTATTATCTACTAATGAGATATTAGATACAGCAATAGATAACTAATACAGGCATTTCAAGTTTTGGTATTTTGTTCATCATGGATTTTTGCATTAATTTGGACTTTTGAAAACGTTGCACTAAAATGCTATTTATCTTGATTACTGAGTTTTTTGGTATTCCCCTCAAATTTTACACTTTGAGGTGAGTACCTCATCCTAGACCCCTCCTTTCTGAGAAAACTTTTTCTCTGGGGCGCCTGGGTGGCTCATTTGATTGAGCATCTGACTTCAGCTCAGGTCATGATCTCACAGTTCTTGGGTTCAAGCCCTGCGTCCGGCTCTGTGCTGACAGCTCAGAGCCTGGAGCCTGCTTCACATTCTGTGTCTCCCTCTCTCTCTGCCCCTCCCCTGCTCATGCTCTGTCTCTGCCTATTAAAAATTAATAAATGTTAAATTTTTTTTTAAAAAGAAAACTTTTTCTCTAAAATCATAGGCTATCAGAAACTTTGCTGTTTAGGGGCGCCTGGATGGCTCAGGTCATGATCTCACCGCTCTGGGTTCGAGCCCCGCGTCGGGCTCTGTGCTGACTGCCAGCTCAGAGCCTGGAGCCTGTTTCAGAGTCTGTATCTCCCTCTCTCTCTGACCCTCCCCTGCTCACGCTGTCTCTCTCTGTCTCTCAGAAATAAATCAAACATTAAAACATTAAAAAAAAAGAAACTTTGCTGTTTGAAATTATATCGATACGAATAAAACATCCTACTCTTGCCTGAAGGATCTCCTGTCACTTTGACATAGAGGAACAGCCTCAATTTCTAACCCACGCTCAGAGGCTCAAACAAGGAGCATGTGGAGTGAACATGTCACATCTATTTGTACTTCAGTGTTTCTAAATAAAAAGGCCCCTGAATTCACTTCACCGTCCAGACTTAACATTGACTCTTTTACATACCAACTTGCTTTGCTTGGGGCTAATCAAAACCCTGCTTCATTTGAATTTTACCTAAACTCAGCTCTTCTCCCAAATCCTGTAGTGATCCCGTTTCCTCCTTTGCTTGCCAAGACTAGGGTGATCTACCATCCCTGTTTGCCCAAGACTGGAGGATTTACTGGGACGAGGGACAATCATCACTGTGACAGGAAAGTCACAGGCAAACTGGAACAAGTTGGCCACCCCAGGTGAGATCCTCTGGTTCTTATGGTGTGTGGTCCCCCTTGCTGCAACAAGTTAATAAACCCATTAATGTCAAACTATGGATGTGACCTTGGTGGTCTTTATCACGTAGGCTTTATCAAGGCCATCAATTTTGGAAGGGTTCACAGAGGCCAAGTTTGAGATCAGTCCTAATATCCACTGATGGTGGAAAATTTAACAGATCTGGTTTGAAGCTCCAGATCAAAGAGGAATTGATTAAGGAATAATTAATTGAAGGCTGATGCCAAACCATGCCAGAAAAGCATTGATAGCCGAAGAGGTATCAGAGCTCTGAATCAGTCTAGAACAATGGTAGATGAGGTTAGAAATTGGTCCAGGGGCGGTTGAAATGTCAACAAGAGCCTGGATTTTAGATTTTGACCGGAGTCATTGATAATGGTGGGTGAGATAACAAATGACCAGTTCAAGTGCCAACCGGATGAACAGTGGTGGTGGAAGAGTTAACAGAAGCCTGCAATTTGAGCTCTCCTGTCTAGACCAAGTCCTTGGGTTGTAGATAAATGGTACAGCTGGCCAATGGCGGTGTAAGAGAGGTGGGTCTAGTTTCTAGTGGCCAATGAGATGAAGCAGCAAGCCTGTTACTAGGGAGAAACCCCTGTTGCTATGTGCAGAGTAGGAGAGTCAGGGTCTAGCCTGAGTAGCTATAGACAAATAGCCAATGACTGCAGGAGAAGTTGCACTTCAGCCTCCTCAGCCTATGGTAAACTGTTACTATGTACCAACCCCAAATGCCAAGTGAAATGAGGCAGCCAAAGTGGCACCTGAGAAGCTATAGACAGAAGGCGCAGTTAACGAATGGCTGAGCGTAAGAATCAGGCTTTGGCCTCCCCGCTCAAATAAGGCTAGTAGGTCTGTAAATCAGCAGAAGTCTCCATTGCCCAATGCAGGGAGGGGGCAGGGCACCGTCTGAGGGGGTATAGGTAGATGATGCTGTGTGAAGGAAGTGGAAGTGGGTGGGGACAAGGCCGGAGGTTGCTTTGGACAGAGGGCCCGGCTGGCCAATGGCTCTGTGTGGGAGGCAGGGTTTAGTTTCCGTGGCCAATGAAATGTGAACATCCCTGTTACTATGCAGAAATAACTTTGCTGTTCCAAATCACATCACTAAGAATGAAGCCTCTCACTCTCGCCTGGAGAATCTAAATGACTTCGGTGCAAAACAGCAGTGTCAACGTCCAACCCAAGTGGAAGAGGAGGAGGAAACTTAGCATGAGGGGCTGCAGACAGGTGACACGTTAAAAAGAAACAGAAACAAATGAAACGTAATGATGAGTTTTATTTAAACTACAAATCCGAAACATTATCAATTCAACTTATAGTCAATTTTTAAAATCACTAATGGGATATATGGCATTCTTTTGGTTGTAATAAGTCTGAGAAATCAGATGCACCCACACACAACATGTCACAGAAGACTACATTTTCACCAGAAACATCTGATGTGTGTTTAGATTTCGTAAAATTTACATTTGAAAACAAAGGTTAATATTCACAGATTGGTCCAAACATT